ATTCTTGACCAAAATAGCGATAACTAAAAATATTATAGAAACAAGAGTTATTCAGGGATTTGTGTTTAAAGTCAAGAATATCTTGGTTTAGTGAATGAGTGATTGACTGCCCCTCGGTAGAATATGGACTCAAACTTTCTCATACATAGCCCTTCTCCATGAGCTCCTCCACTTGCCTTTGAATTTCTTTTGTCTCGGTTGGATTGACTCGATAAGCTGACTTATAAGGATTGACAGTCCTTGGAATGAAGTATAATTTATGTTCAGTACCTCTAATGGGAGGTATTTCTTTATCTTGAAGCATGTCTTCAAATTCTTGTAAAAGAGATTGAAAAACAGTAGGCAAAGTCAAGTTGTTATAGTTAGAGACAAAAAATTTTCTATTGTACATAAGTACAAAGATCGATTTTTGTGAAAACCTTCTCACCTCTTCAACTGTACCGAATAAATCTCTCTCTCTCTCCCTTTTTTCTTCAATTTCATCTCTTTTTTCATTCTTCTTCTTTTCTCTTTGATTTTTCTTTATTTCTTCACTCAACTCTTGTTTTTCTTTTTAACTCTTTTTCTTCAAACTCTTTCTTTCTTTCTTTCAACTTTAATTGATCAGCAAATACATTTGCAGAATTCAAAGGTACAAGAATGGTTTTTCTACCATCTTTTACAAAAGAATATCTATTTAAATAGCCATCATACATAACCCTCCTATCAAATTGTCATGGTCTGCCAAGCAATATATCTCCAGCGTGCATTGGTAACACATCACAAAGAACTTCATCATTATATTTTTTCAAAGTAAAAGATATTAAAGCTTAGGAAACTACCTTCATTGTTCCACTATCATTGAGTCATTGGAGCTTGTAAGGTTTAGGATGATCTTACGTTGGAATTTGCAACCTTTTGATCAACATGGTACTTACAACATTGGTGAAACTTCCACTATCAATGACAAGACTACAAGCAGTCCCCTTGACTAAACACCGCGTGTGGAACAGGTTGTCTCTTTGATCATCAACATCATTCTCCGTAACTTGAGTTTTAACAAGTCTTCTTGTTATAAGTGCCAAATGAATCTCATCTTCCAGTTCCTTCTCATTCTTCTGGACTTTTTCAACTAGATCATTGATCTCCCCTCCATTTTCCTCGTCTTGGTTCATGATTGTACAAACAGTAGTGAAATATGTTTAAGACTTCAAATACTCAAGTCATTGATTTTACACTCAGTGACACTCGTATTTATACACACAAAGGAAGGCTGTTTGAAAAAGTGACTAAATTATGATCAATGTAGGCTAATATATGGGTAAAACAATTTTGATAGCAGCAAGTTATTCAAGGCAATCAAGATAAGTTAATTATGAAATAAAAAAAATAAAACAAGACAGTGAACAAACAAATAAGGAACACGAAGGTATTTTTGGATAGAATTGCACACTGAAAAAATTTTAAAAAAAAATTCCAAAAAGAAAGGACATGAAGATTTTAAGAACGATCTAACTCTCCTTTTTATAGAATTCGGGAAATTTAAAAGTTATCTTCAAGCATAGATTATGAGAAAAAAATATCAAATACAACGGTTATATATTTAGATGGATTAAGAAAATGATGTGAATGGAAGTTTATTTGATCTTCAAATAAACATGCAAATGATCTAAAAAAAATGATAAAGATCATTTATAATCACAATCGTAAGAGCAAATATGATAAGTTTTTTTTTTCAAGATCTCAACATGATCTTTAGGAAGAACATGAGAACAAAGTGAAAAGTTGATGAATAATGGCGGAAATGACAGCAAGAAAATAAAGGAACAGATTTAAAGAAAAGATAAACAATAGCA